ATTTTCTTTGTTATGTAAATGGATAAACTGTGGTACATCATGGAATATTATTCAGTGCCCAGCAAGAAATGAGCTGTCAAGAAATGAAAGGACATTGAGGAAACTTTAAGGTGTATTACTGAGTGAAAGAAGCCGGTTTGAACAGGATATATACTACATGATTCCAATTCTACGACATTCTACAAAACGCAAAACTATCAAAGCAGTATAAAGATCAGTCACTAGACAAAGCTCAGACAATTTTTAGGAGAGTGACAATATTCTACAGAATACTATAATTGTGGGTACATTGGTCAAAACCCGCAGAAAATGCAAAAATGAACACTAATATAAACATTTTACCTTGGGTGATAATGATGTGTGAAAGTAGGTTCATTAATTGTAACAGACACACCATTTTGTCGCTAGATGCTGATAGCTAGGGAGGTTGTGCTTGTGTGGGAACAAGGGATATATGGCAACTCTGTACTTTTTACTTTGCTGTGAACTCAAAACTGCTCAAAAAATTGTCTATTTAAAAGGGAACAAAATTCCTCACACTATATAGGTGTCTCTTTAGGCTTCAAATGACACATTCATTGAGATAGTAATCATTAATTTATAAACTGTACCATGAAAACAAAGGTTACTGCAGTCAGAGGTCTTAAAACATTAAAACATGAAAATGTCTGTCACCATGATCTTTGTGTATATGATAGTTCTAATAACACTTGAATCATATATTGTTTGTAAAAGTTTTAAATCAATGCATTAGCATGAGAACTGTCTGTATTTTAACTACTTTGTCAATATTTTATTCTATGAAATAAAACATAAACTCCTAAAAGTGGGTATTGATAAATAGTAATTAATTATTCAGAATTAGAAAAAAGAAACCACACAATGAGTTTCTGGTTGCCAGATGTACATGTTGTTCAGTCTGATAAATCAGTCAGCATTTTTAAAGCTGTAGCTAAAATCTGCTAATATATCATTCTGAATAATCTAGAATTAGGTACTCCATGACTAAAGTTAGTGAAATATCTCCATTTTTTTCAATAAGATGTTAAAAAGTCAGTGTCCTACCTAAACATAGAAGCAACGTATGCACAATGGCAAAACATACATATGCTGTGATTTCACATGGCCTGTAAATATGTATGGTTATAACAAGAGTCTGATGAGGACAACTGCCCTGAGAATAAAACAAAACAATATAAATTAACAGCAGCAATCAAACAGGGTTCCAATTCTGGCCTTGTTACTCTTACTACTTATATAGTGCTAGGCAAACCCCTTAACTCCTTCATTTTCTAAATGAGAAAGTTAGAATAAAGTTTATGATGTGTTTATATCTAGGAATTGTGTTTGCTGTATCACAGTGCATTGTTTGCTTCAAATATATATTCATTAATCCAAAGTACTTCAGAATGCTAGGATCAGGCCCCAAGTGTGTCCATGGAACGCTTCATGGATGAAGCCATATGTAGCATTTAAACTGATCTGATTTTTGAGGATCAGAACTCCTTTGAACCCTAGTGTTAACTTTCTTCTACTATGTATTGCTGTATTAATATATGGCATTAGTTATTATGCAAAGACAATAACAGGGGCTTATAAGTCTTTTGATTACTTACAATACCAAGGAAATGGATGAAAATACACTTAATATACATTCAGTAATGGTGGTTTCATCACTGATAATGTGAGTTGAAAATAAATCAAGTTCATTTTGGCAAGAATGATTATTTTTGTGTGTAGTGTCTCTTCAAGACTTCTATAAAACCAAATACAATGAAATGCCACGTCAATGCCCAGAGATTTTCTACAAGACAAGCAATTCAAAGTGCCTTACTCCTTATATAATCCATTTTCTCACGGGTAGAACTTCAGAGATGTGAAGAGGTAAATAATTACTTGTGGAAGGTCAGGTGTTCATGCTGTTCATGTTTCAAAATTCTAAAACAAAAGTACTCTCTTTAGAAAGTGTACAATTTTAAATAATTTAAATTGGAAATACATGAACCTGTGTGTGTAATTTGTTGTTTTGCGTTGTTTCCTTTCTTCATTCACTAATCTGCTGAAAGATATTTACTAACAGAAGAGTATTTGTCTGTTTGATTTTGCTTTCAAAACAGCTAGAAGAGGATTTTACATCTGGCAATCTTCTTTACGTTACCTATACATAAGAATGAATGCAAATATAATAAATAAAATTTGCCTTTTAAAAAAGCTAGTTGTAAGACAGATAATGTTGCTTCCAAAAAAATTTGATTGTTAAATAATATAAGTGTCCATGAGATCATTCTTCATGTGGCTGCCAGATATAAAACCACTCCTCCTGAGAAAGTCTTTTAATTGTGTCTTATTTTACAATAAAAGCTTGTCCTTTTATGATACCCCAACTTCTTCATAGAAGTGCTCTACAGGGAAAAGAAATAGAGAAGAATCCTCAAATTCACTGTAAAACAACTTCTTAACTGCCAGGAGATTCAGCCTTCCCTTCCCAAATAGTTATCATTTGTATACACATGAGCAGTTTTCTTTTTATGTAGAAAACAATCTCCTAAAATAATCTTGCAGAAACTCATATATGGGGAACTTTGGTGATCTGTCTTTGGATATTTGTGTTTATTTTTATTAAAAAGTAAACAGGTTATGGCAAAACAATTATTCAAGTTGGTAGTATTCCTCTTCTTAAAAAGTGCTGTTGATTACCTACCTATTAGCTATCATAAAATAATGAAAAATACAAAATAAATTACAGATATATTGAGATGACCTACTACATCTTCATTAGGTCTCTCTCTGTCTCTCTCACCTGTGTTTGTATGTGTGTGTGTGTGTTTGTACATACATATACGTATAATATATGAAGGGGCATAAAGGAGAGAATAAGCCATTATTTTTAAAAGTGGCAATTTAATGACAAAGGGATGCTCATGTCACATTCTTTAATCCTGAATCAAGGATTAAGCCTTTTTAATTAATTGGGCAAAGGCATTCAGGCAGCTTAAGGCAGCTTAGATGGTGCTGTAGTTTATTTAATAATATAGCAGCAAAGAGGAGCTTTCTCTCCTCCATGATATAAGAGATTCTTTCAAAGAGGGTAACATCACTGATATAATTCTTTCTTATAGAGAGGAAAGTTTCCATCCCATTGATGGAGATAAATGAAAGATATTGGAAGAACACTTTTATAAATTTACAGTAAGTAATTTCATGTAATTTAGTAAAAAATGATTTGTTAAATAAGTATTAATACAACCAATATCAAATAAATTGACTTAAATTAAAAAGATTTATCCAGCATGATTATACACTACTACCACTATAGAACAAAATTTCAGTTTTTGGACATGAGTCATAAATTGCATTGATGTGCAATGGCCAAAGTGTAACTTCTGTTTAAATCAAGAAACAAAGCTAAGATAATTAAAAGTCTACTTTTTTTTTTTAATGGCCAGGTTCAGGTAAATAATGCTGAGGATACTGAAAGAGGAATTGGAATTCTGAATCTGTCAGTTAGCTGCTGAAAGAGACCAAATTGGTTGCTTAAGTAAACAATCAAACAAGGAGTATAATAAAAGTTGTTCTTTAGTGGGAAGGAGAAGAAATTGGAAATTCAGGTCAAATAATCAAATTTCTGAGAAAGTCTCATAGATCACAAAGAATTAGAGACCATTATTAGCTTTCTCAACTCTCAACAACCAGTAGGAAAACAAATTCCACAAAGGGTTGTGAATGAAACATTTAAACCGTTAAAATCTCTTGCTTTTGGAAATAATTGTAATTTCGATGTCAGTTTTAAGTTATATCCAGAATAAGGATTGTACTTTGGTTTTGGGGGTATACTTACATGGCTTCTTAAACAACTTTGTTCCTCTTCATTATAAGTTAAAGAGTGAACATTATTACTTTAGGCAATTAACGGCAAATAAAGATTAAAGAAATATTTCCCCCATCCCTAAGAAAAGAATGTTTTTGAGGGCATGTCTCTGTCTGCATTCATGGATCCATTCCAAGGGTCCTCCAGGCATGGGAATATCTTAAGTCTTCCTGATACCTCTATGTACCTGATTAGAATTAGAAAATATTGGCAGATACTCGACTGAGTAAAAGAAGTGCAATAACATGAATTCTGGCCTTTATTTGTTCTTCTCTTGAGAATGTAATTTTTAAAATAATATTTTGGAGATTTTACTATTTACGATGCTGAATATTTTTTAGTAGATAAATATCAAGCATTTCATAGGCACACACATTTTCTCTTAGAAATTGTTACTTAAAGAATTTCCACCTTTGTGCTTCCAAACTTTGGAAGCTAATGAAGAAATTTTGGTTTTCAGTAAACCTTTTAATACATAACTCTTGATTGATTTCCATTAATATATACAATGATTGATTTTACATTACCCATAATTAGTCTTCATACCATGCAGCACAGCCCATATTGTTTTTATCAACAAGAAGGTTTCTCATTAAAAGTAAAATAAATAATGTATATTCTGCCTTTAGAGCAAAGTTGGATATTAAAAGCCAAAATATTTAATAGATCATTTAGGAATCACTGAAATATTGTTGAGTAAATTGAAGGGAGTACTTCCTTATGGAAAATGTGTTGCTTCATAGCCCAGCGCATGAGTTCGTGTGGTGTTCAGAAAACATTCCCAGATTACCTTGATTAATTTCACTTTGTCTTGTGAAAGCGTGCAGGTATGATTGATTCATTGATTCTATAATTAGAAAGGATAGAAATAAAACATTTCCTTTTGGATTGCATCAGAAAATGATTTGCTTGAAAGGGAAAACGGCTAGACGTACTTTAAATTTAGCTTCCTTTTAATCATACCAAAAATTAAATAGCCTGTTTCACACCATGAACAAGATACTTCTATGTGTAAACAACAAATAGAAACCTCCCATAGTGTGTGTATGTCTGTATGTTTGTGTGTATGTGTGTTAATCCTTACTTGATTGCATGACAAGTAAAGCTAATTTAAGAACGCACATTTAAAAAATAGAGTTTTCATTTTAGTTTTATTGTAGTGAGTAGTATTTTTAATTTTCTTGAAAGGCACCCAAGAATAATTACTTTTGTGAACCAAAAATATATAAAACTGTACAGAATAAATATTTCATAGAAATCTAACTATACCTTCTTGTAAAATAAAGCTACATTGTCCCTCTCTTGAGGCAACTTAAACCACTTACCTTTAGAAGTGCCTTTTGCTACTGATTTATGGCATCTATCAATATACATCAATAAAAATAAAATAATTTTTCCTATTTACTTTACAACTGTGAATTACTTGCCACAAGAAATGTATTTCTATCATGGTCATTCAAATTTACAAAGAATTAAGCCTATGAAATAAAGCAAACCCAATAGATTCTCTAGTCATATTTACAGCAGAATCTCAGTAGCATTTTTAAAATATCCCTAGAAGAAGAATTAAACTTTGAACATAAATGACATACTTTAGTTCACAGCAGCACTGACATTAAAATTATCTACACAAAATGTGTAGAAAACCCCCCAAAATATGCTTATTTATTCCACCTGAACTATTAATCATTTTAACTTTTTAAACTTAGAATGCACGAGAGTGGCATTTGTTTAAGCTCAAATGCTCAAAGTTTTGAGCCACCCATGACCTATGTAATTACAACCTTTATATTTTTTCTTCACTGTAATTTGTAATTGTCAAGTTCCAGTTTCTTTTGCATTTATTGCAAGAAAGTTAGGTATGTTTGACAATATACATTTTTGAAGTACATACTGGTTATAAACAATGTATTCCTTACATATTATAACTACATATACAGGTATGGTTTTTAAATGATGAAATCCAATTGTAATTAATCTATAGGGAAAGCAATTCAAGAAAATTCGGGATACTTTAATGTTCAACCTTTTTAGATGTGCAAGAGGACTCCTATGAGACACTTTTCAGTATATGGAGAAATATTACTATAACCCTTGAATGATTTACATGCAAGGATTTATTTTATTTGGGACAGACTGAATTGCCTGAAGATAATGCCATGGCTTCTCCCAATGATCCCTGAGTTTATTTTTCTTCCTTTTTTTCCCCCGTAGTTTACTACTGTGCTTAAGTTCTGATTGATGACACACTCATGTAAGGCACTTATTTACAAGGTATGGACTTTAAACAGAATCATAGCATTTCTGTGAAAGCCCTCAAACTCTCCATCTATGTTTGCTGCTCCAGGACTTCTAAATAGTCAGGTTCAGCATGTAAATTAGCTTTGAGTTCAAAATACTCATTTTTCGTCTGTTCCACTAATACCTTCCTTGGACGTGAGTACATTAATGTTTCCATTAATTTCAGTTCTTCGTGGGCTCCTGGATAATGTGCCTCCATATCAGGCTGGAGCTGAGCAATGTTTTTCCTTAGGTATTCTGTGATTCCCAGTTGCTGAAGTTCCCTTTCTTTTTCTAAAATGTTTCTATACAGTGAACTGGCATCTTGGAAGGATAAAAATTCTGTCGATTGGTTCGTGGTTTTGTATTTCATATTGGACCCTGTGAGTGGTGAATGATTTTCCCGTTCCAAAAGACTTCTTTGGAGATGTTTTGCATCACTTCCTTCTTTCTCATTCCCCTCTTCTTCCTCTTCCAAATGCTTTGGACCAAAGGAGGGACTTCTATAGACATGAACCATGGGGCTCACCATGTGCTGTTCATAGAGAGAGGCAGAGGGTCTTTCAGTAGTGTGATGAGTGGTTTTATGGCCATACATGCTGTACTGAAGATGCACGGGACTGTTGTCCCTCATTTGCTCATCTACTTGTTTCTTTTTGTATCTTCTCCTGCGGTGAAGAACAAGAACCACTATCCCTGCAGCACAGAACACAATAGTGATGAACACAATCAGAAGTCCCAATATTAGAACAGACAGTGGCACAGCATCTGTAAGAGACCGTAAAATAGTATCGGCCGTATTCGTTGTTGTTGTAGGAGTGGTGACAATAATGTAACTAGTCTGTGTTGGCATGGATGGGTTATTTACTAAACCTGGACAGAGAAGTTCACTATTTAGGGCTTTTAATTCCTTTTTGTCGAGATGCCCGGGAGAAGTGCAGAGGATGTCATCTGTCACTGTGTTCTTGCTTAGCTTTTGTATCCATTGTTGCAGTCCAACCAGGTCACAGGAGCAGTCCCAGGGGTTATCCTCAAGGTCAATCTGGGTTAGTAAATCAAGATCATCCAAAATATTACTTACAGGTAGATGGGTAAACTGGTTTGTTTTAAGATTTACCTTAGTTAGAGGAACCCCTGAAAAAATATGTGGTGGCAAAACTTGGAGGAGGTTGTTATTTAAGTAGAGGACTTTAAGTTTAGGCATTGGATTAAATGTTTCTGGCAGTATTTCCTTAATGGCATTGTATTCAAGATATAAGTATTCAAGATTATGGAGGCCAAGGAACATGCCTTTACTTAATTTGGTCAGATGGTTACCATTTAGATACAGCTTTTGTAATCTCGTTAGGTTCATAAATGATCCTTCTTCAAGAACTTCAATACGATTGTTTCCCAAGTGAAGCATTTCCAAAGTGAAATATTCCACTAGATCAGACTTCATTAAACTATGAATAATATTTCCCGCTAGAATGAGCTTTCTAGGATTTTGCGGAGGAGGTCTCAGATCTGATAAGCTCTCAATGTTGCGCTCCTGACAATGTATTAGAAGTCCTGATGGGGATAGGACTTTGCAGTTACAAGGAATAGGGCAGTAAGGTCCTGGAAGTTGAGTGGATGGCTTTGTAATATAAGGTATCAAACGTGGTGCTTTGGTGGGTGGTTTTAGAATGGATGTGGTCTTAGTTGACATGCGACTATCATTTATTGAAGATGTTGCTGCCAAATGTAACGATCCTGAAGGATCCTCATGTTCTTCATACACTGGTGGAGTGGGGCAAATGGATTCCTTCTTTAGTCTACTGAGTACACTTCCTTTAAAAAATGGAGGGCTATTGCAGACAACATCACCAATTATAGACTGCGGAGGCATGTTCTCCAACCAAGTTTTTAACTGCAGTAAGTCACAATTGCAGGCCCATTTATTGTCCTCCAACTGAAGATCCAATATTCGGCCAATGTGTTCGAGAAAACCAACATAAGGCAATGTTTGTAACTGATTTCCACGAAGATCTAGATGGGTTAAAGGAACAAATCGGAAGATGTTTGGAGGAAGACTCTCAATAGCATTATCATTTAAAATTAACACTTTGAGTCTGTTGAGCTTGCTAAAGGCACTTGGTTCAATCACTGTGATAAAATTGTTATCGGCTTGCAGGAATTCCAGGTTTTCCAGTCCATGGAAAGTATCCTCTTTAAGAATTTCTAAAGAATTGTGATTGATATGAAGTTGCTTAAGGAGGCCAAGGCCATTAAATGCACCTATCTCAATATCTGCAATATTGTTAAATCCAAGGTGTATTGAAATAGCATTGGTAAGCCCAGAAAAGTCATTTGTGTGAAGCATTGTCAAGCCATTATTTAATAAGCTTAGTTGGAAAGGTCGTGATGGTGGCACACTTATTTCAGATACCGTCTTGATACCTTTTTCTTCACAATTTATTAGCATCGTGCCATCTTTTTCCTCACAATTGCAAAGAGAATCACAAGAGCTTCTGACTGAGAACACTGGAGTTTGGGACTGTAAAGACATACAGGCAAGGAGAGATGAATAAAAGAGAAGAATCCACAGCTTCATGTTGTCATGTGATGAAATCCGATTCTGTAAAATAAAACGCAATAGCAAGGGACTTTAGTGGGCAGAACTGGGGAGGAGATGAAGCTGACATTTTCAAAATAATAGGTCTTTCTCCAAAAAGCAAGTGACTGACTACCATGAAAATATGGGTAGCTTACTGCATTCATCGTTTTTTCTTTTTTTTTTCTTCCTAATACTCAGACAGGCAAGTCTGACTGACTTTTAACTTGCATTGTGGTCAAAATATAAAATTTAGGTCAAGGGGAATTTAAAATATTGTATCATAATTTGTGTTCACATCTGATGAATAACCTGCATTTTAACAGATGAGAGAGGTGCTGCCTTAGAGCATTGATACTTCACCATGATGCAAAGTTACATATTTGAAAACTTTTTTTTTTTTAACCTTAAGGTACATAAATTTAAGGCTGGAGGATTATCGTATAAGACAAATATGTAGTTGTTAGCCATAAGCATAGAGAACTGTGGGGAATGTAAAAAATGATAAAAAGAGTGTATGTGTGCATATGTGTATGTGTGTATACATGTCCTCATGTAGCATGCATTGTCTTTCTTTATATTGTTGAACTGTGTGTCACACAATAATATCTAATAACTGTGTCTGTGTTTTAACTTGCTTTGGTTTGGGCTTAAAATTACATCTGTAGTATACATATGTGTGTGTGTGTATATATATATATATTTACACACACTAATTTTATTTTTTATTTTGAAAACCTTGAGGAAAATATGTCTTTGATCATGTAATAAAGGATAGTACAATAAGAACTCTTTTAACTATTCAATCTAGGGAAGTTTGTATAAGCGTAATAGTATCAGATATATACACTTAAGAGTAACCATTCAAATTTCACTTAAATCCTTATATTTAATATTGAATTTCTAGAAGCAGTATATTTCTTACTGCTTTTTAATTATGTTATAGATGAGGTTGAAATAATAAAAACTAAAGTTAATCTTTAATACACATTTCAGGCTGTTGTAAAACAATAAACAATGCTTCATCTAAACTTCTAGCAAATGACTTCCTAATGAGGTTTTGAAACAGTCTTTAGGGCACTGAATGTCATCACATAATTAAGCAGCTGGTCTCCTTGATTATAAGACTTTAAGTCACGAACAATGAAGTCTGAAACAAACTGTATCATATTAAACTTTTTGATGGTGTTTCAAATTTGGTAAAAGAAAAAAAAGATGGTTCAGAATAACATCATGTATTCCAATCCTGAAACATGTAACAAATGCATCTGAAACAGCAATTCTTAAAAAAGATTTTGTCCTTTAAATGACAGTTATGCAAGGTAAACATTTGTAGCACTAATGATATCTAATTTTATTTCCTTCCTTTAAATATTATACCTTATATAAACTACATTGAAATATAAACACCACATCTTATGACTATTCAACTTTTCAAAACAGTAATCAGTTTTCATTTTTGTTGTTTGAAATGTGAACAGTAACTGAATCAAATTAAAATTCACAATCAGGTAAAACATACCAGAACCCAATCAACCATCCTGAAAGTAAACTTTCATTCCCAGAAAACATAGTGTTTTATTGAAAACACATATAGTACAAAGTTCCTGAAAGGCAAAAGACAACTAAAGAAACAAAACAACATACTGTGTTTCTATGTGAAGAGAAAGTTAGAAGACTTTATTTTTCTCTAGGGAAATAGTTTGATTTTAAACAGCTTTGTGAGCTGAGGTTATAAACAAGCAGCATGTAATTGGAGTCTTCAACTTGTGGATTAGCTTCCACAAACACTAAAAGTACTTATTCATAAATTACCAAGAGATAATAAGATTTATTTCACCAGGTATAGCATCAGAGAAAATAGCAAATAATTCTTCAGTGATTAAACTCTTGTTATTTTTTAAATCCTATATGAATTTTGTGCTCTTCAAAATGTGCTAGGAAACAGTTTCTCATCTCTTCAGAAACACACACAAATGTGAAAAGTGGTTCTCTACTGACAACATCCGATACAGTGGTAAAGAGGTCAAAAGATACTCACTGACATATTTTCTGAGAATACATATTTTCAAGTCAGAAAATAATATAAGTAGCATACAAAGTGCAAAGAATTCTTCAATATTCTGCTTATATTTGCGATTCAACATTCACACTTGGAAGCGATCCTTCAGAAAGCATACATATTTAGTTTCTAACAACAAACTGCATGTTGTAAAAGAAATAGTGGAATATTATATTTGTTCTTCTCTACAGCCAGCTGTTAGACTAAATGTCTGCTGCTCAGAGAATACAGGCATCTGCTACAGTGTTAGTTGTGCCAGTAAGCAAGAATGAAATTGAGTATCCTCTAATGCAAAGTTGTTTGTTTAAAGGAGGCAAACATACAAATTCAATCACTTTGCTATAATGCAAAAATAAGTATGAGAAAAGCCTGGAAACATTCATCTTACCTGTAAAGCAGAGACTCTTCCTGACGGTATCTGTAACGCACAGCTGGAAGAGGTGTTCAAAGTAATTCAGTTCCTTTATTAAAAAAGAAAACACCAACCACTGTGTACTTTCTTCTCAAATATCACTTTTTGTCAAGTCCCATAGGTTCATAAAGTTAAAACCTCTGGTCAAAGATAGAATACTGAGCAATTCATTGAAAATATTTCAAGCAGAGTGCATACTAGAGCATCCTGAAGCAATTGTCCCTTTTTCCCTCAATTAAAATTCACAGCATACTTCCCAGCTATGCTGACTTTTTTGCATATAGTTAACCATTTGCAAGCTGCTGAATGCAGTAAGTAAACAAGATGTTTAACAGAGCTGGGATTGATCACTCTTGCTTTCTTAGTTTGTAGATCCAAGCTGCAGCAATGTTCTCCTTCCTCCTTTTCTAGTATTTCTTGTTAGCTCAGTTTGTTATTAGTCAGATTGCCAAGGGCTGGGAGGTAGGCGTAAATAAAGAGACTTCTTGGCTTTTGACTCAGCCTGTAAGCCCTTCCCCATCAGAGCGTTTTAATCTGCCAGTGTCATATAACACACGAGACAGCTCCACCTTGGGACTGCTCAACTCCTCCTCTTTCTGCAAATGGTCTTTCCACTCCCTTTCAATACCAAATACAGTGCGAGTGAATTTTGATGGAAATAATAACACGTCGTTTTAAATGCTTAATAGTACATTGTGTTATTATAGCAAGCTAAATAATACGTTATGTTAAATTCTCAACTAACACTGTTTTGTAGTGTTTGCACACATGTGTGCAGGAAACACAAGGATGTCGCCTATAGAGGAGTTGCCTCTTTTTTTTTTTTTTTTTTAATCTGGTATTTATAGTTGAAATTGTGCACTCACTAGATTGTAAAATGTTAACATGAACAGCTTCCCTGCAATATTTGTATTTTTGTATTCACCATTTAACTTTTTTAAAGCCTTAACTTAGGGACTCTAAGTTTTTACTTCATTATTTCTTTCCCTAGAGCTAATATTCAATAACTAAACTTAGACATGAAGCTCTTCCAGTTATTTTAATATATTTATTTCGAAGAAAAGCATAATTATTTAAAAATATATTTAAAAATATTTAAACACAAAATAATTATCATTGATCAAGTTCTGTTTATCACTTTCAAAAATATAAAATTATATCTTTACAGATAAAATGAAACAAGTAAAATATATAGATATTGCAATAACCTGATTTCTATAGTGCTAGCTCAGAGAGAATTTATTCTTAATAGGTTATATCTTAAAAGTTGCATGTTTCTTCAACTCTTAAAAGTTTCTGAATCATCACTATTATTACTCTTAATTATCAGATTCCTTATTCCTCAAAAAGCCTGTGGTTTAAAAAATTGTTCTTCTTGTCTACCTTCCTGAACTTTTTAACATCCCAAGTGCATATACTAGATGCTGTCTTTTATTTGTTTGTTTTGTTTAGAATAAACACAGATTCTAGTGGCCTTCTATGTAATAGTAGGTGTCATTTCAGAAAGTGCTATTTTTAAAAAGGAGAGTTGATATAGTTTAAATCATCAAAATAGAAGAACATCACATTATTATTTAATGATATACACTTAGATTCATATAGTTTTATAGTCTCAGGGTGGTATATTTGCTCTAAAAATATAAGGGCTCTGTGGGAATTTTCAATATTCTCACTTTCCTTTATATTTCCCGGTAATTAGGTTTCTCATTTATTTTAATGGCATTTTATGCTTTAACATGGAAAAGAGATGATGATACAGAGGAGGGGGTTGGAAAATAGAGTAAAAATTAAAAAATAAGAGAATGAAGAGTATAAGTGAAATTAAATATGATTAATTAGTCTTTGCCTCAATTTCCTGCTAGCTGCTAGCCAAATTAACTAAATCAAGGTAATGATTTAGATAGATAGTTAGAAATTAGAATTTTAATCAATAAAAAATGAAGGGGCAAGAATAATTTCCCTCCCAACTCTGTAGTCCTAATTCTCCACATGCATTCCTTTAGGTTTTGAAGTTAAGTGCATAGGAGAAATATTTTAGTAGCATAGTATGTGGGGCAAAATTTTTCAAGCCTACATGTGAACAAATGAAAGTAATTTCTTTGTAGATTGACACATGTTTCTCTCATGTCCTTCAATTTGATCATATATCTATTTTATCCATCATATACGCATAGCAGAAATTTGAAGTTTTTTATTATGAATTCCTTTCCTACATAATGCATCTTGTCTTTTTAGTGCATAAATTACTTGTCAATTGCAATAATTGCTGGTCAATTCCCCACAATGGTAAGGGAGAGAAGTATTGACTAAAAACACTTTTTAAAAAATTATTCACTTATTCTGTAAGTTTTCGTTGGGAATAGAAAACTAGAAAAATAATTCTTTGAGGAGCAATCTATAACTTTTAATTTAAAGTGGTAATGTTTATAATGAATTACTCAGCATTATCTCAAACTTAGTTAAAATATACACTAGCACATCTGAAAAATTGTAGACAAGTCTGCTGTTTTCTAGTTTTTTTTTTTTTTCACTGTAATTCTTCAGTCATGATATCAAATCAGTAATATAGTCATTCTTTCCAAAATGTTTATTATGGCAGGTTATGTGCTAATGATTATTGAACAACATTTATTTTAACAATATTTTTAATTTCCAATTAATCAATGGGAAAGTACTTTCTTAGTGTACTTTTAATAATAAATTCATCACACGATTATAATAAACAATGAATTTTATTTATTTTTCCACCTAATCTATGCCTGTTCCCCAGTAACTTCATGTTATTATTATGTATTATTATTATTATTGTTATTATATATAGAGACAGGGTCTCACTCTGGTATCTAGGCTGGAGTACAGTGCTGCAATCATAGCTCACAGTAACCTCCAACTCCTAGACTCAAGAGATCCTCCCATCTCAGCCTCCTAAGTACCTGGGACTTGGGGCATGGACTATCATGCCCAGCTGATTCTTTTATTTTTTATAGAAACAGGGGTCTTACCATGTTTCCCAGTCTGTTCTCAAACTCCTGGCCTCAAGTGACCCTCCCATCTTGGCCTCCCACAATGCTAGGATTAGAGGCTAATTACTACTACTAATAATTTTTTTTGAGAAGGAATCTCACTTTGTCACCCAGGCTGGAGTGCAGTGGTACCGTGTTGGCTCACTTCAACCTCCACTCCTGGCTTCATGCAATTCTCCTGCCTCAGCCTCCCGAGTAGCTGGGATAACAGGTGCCCACCACCAATCCTGGCTAATTTTTTTAATTAATTATTTTAAATCACGACCTGTAAATTACGTGTTATTGTGACATTTAACAATATCTCTGCTTTCAGAGTGTGTATTTCTAAAGGGCCAACATGAAAGTATTATAATTGCATTGAAGAAAACCAAGCAGTCGGAAGAAATAAACCTATCTCTGTTATTAATTTTAGAGCAGCAGCCTACAACCAGCATATTTTATTGCGCATGAGGACATAGGAAGTGAGGGCCTTCCCTCCCTCCTTTCATGGATGCGGGGAGATCATCTTAATATCCAATGACCTGAAAGACTAGGTGGTAGAATGTTTTATGAAATTTGTTGAACCGATAATGTGTACAGTACAAATAGAGTGAAAACACCAAGAGTGAGCACTGGAAAAAGAAAAGAAAAAAGTAAAACAATGAAATTTATTCATTCTAAGTAGGACCAGTTCCACCTTAGAGTGGCTTTCCACCTTTTTTAGTGTCACATTTAAGAGGTAAAGTGTAGACGTGTGTGATTGAGTTTAATTAAAAAATCCGAAAGGCTTGCAGGGAGAGAACACTATACCATCTGTGGTGTAGACTGAGGCGTATTTCAATACTCTGAAGTTAGAAAGTATGAAATTTGGTGATTTGGGGAGGATGCTAATACTATAGGGAATTTCATATATTAGCTAGTCATTTCGCTGTTTGAAAAAAATAAATAATCTTAACTCAGTTTCACTTCTTACATACTTATATGATTGTTTTGAAAGGAATATTAAACACATTATTGGGAAACATATTATTGTGGGCTGTGCTTTCTTTGTACTGTCAGGGAATTACACTGAAACTCATGATAATGCTACTAAAATAAAATATTACAAACACTTATAAATAACGCATAAATGCACAGTCTCCAGAGACCCTGATATACTAATTTTATAAACTTTTAAAAATTATGTTTCTCACTTTCCACTAAAAGTTTTCTTTAAGCTTGTATATACCTTTTGAGAAGTGTCTTGTTTCATTAAGAAATTTTAAAATGCAAAATAAATAAGGAAAAATAAAATTTACTAACAATTCTATAGCTTAAATTTAACTCAAATGTTTATTTTATATTTCCGTTCTCTTTATTGTGTACACATGTAATCATTTTTATAAAATGAGAAAATAATATTTAAAAAGAACAATGAGTAAAGTCAACTTAAATACAGAATTGACTTATTTACATAAATCCAATTCATAGAAAATAATAATAGAAGAATGTTGCCTTTCATCTTTCAAAATTGTATGCTACACAATTTTCAAATTATGAACCCAGGGTGTTCTTTCATGTTTCACTAGAAGAGGACGAAAACACTTTCTAAACATTACTTTTTCTGTTGCCTAACAATAAGAGTTTAATTATTATGGATATGTTGACTTCCGATAACAACATACAGTTAAACTAAGAGACTAACTTTTAGATGATGAAGAATAGAAAATCTTCCTAACTTTTTCAATATACACACATGTGTAGATAAGAATGTCATTGGCACAATGTTCATCATGTTTGACTTATCTCCATGAAAAGTCATGTGTCTTGGAGGAAATATATAAGGTAGATATAATATTTTATGGATATATCATAGATAAGAAGACAAGAAAAAACACTATGGAAATACAGAGGAAGAAGCTATTAAGTAAGTCACTTTGGGGAATTTGAGGAAGGTCTCACCATGAAGGTGACATTGAACTGGATGAATGTTTAGGAAACTTGCCTTTTGCATTGTGCCTTTAACAAGAAGTTTGATTTGTTATGTAAGTCTTAGGTTTCCTTCATACTTAATTTGACCTAATAGCAAAGGTATACAACTGATAAAGGGAGTGCTTTACTCTAAGAGAAGTTTTGTAATAAAAACTTCCTGTTGGTGATTTGAATTCAATGAACACAAAGGAATTCTCTAATACCCTTGTTTAACCTGGCAAAACCTAAAAGAAAACAAAACAGCAACTTTCCTCTGAAAGCTTAAACTATGACCAGTCTGTCTTCATATAAATCCTATTGAAAAATTTCATAACAATTCCTACTTCAAATAGAGGACTAAGCAAACCTAAAAAATACGTGAAAAATGAACCAAAAAATGTGAATAAATGTTTTCATGATGCGTAATGAATAAAGTGCAAGATGGCAAGGTGCATTGGAATAATGCTAGACTGTGAGTTATTCTGACTGTAGGGAGACACTCTAAGGAAGGGCTTATGTTTACTTCATATTTTTTCACCATAGCACTATAGTGTGTGTTGCACATAGAAAACAGTCAAATAAGTTTTTTTTT